CAAGGCGGGCGTGGCGGCAGTGGGCGACGTTTCGCATTTGATGAGGGAGGCAGCGAGGGGGTCCACCCGGGGCCTGGGGTGCCTTTTTTGGAGGGAAGGTGTCGTCGAGACGAAGCTGGGTGCGACTGGATCGTTTCGGCTAGGGGACAGCTTTTATCCCTTTTTAAAGGAGTTGGGAAAGGCTAAACCCGTGGGAACCTTCGCCCACCTCGTTTGTAGGGGAGGGCCTTTTTCCCGGAACACTTTTACGCCCTGGGAAAAGGGGCCTGTCCAGGGAGCTTGTCGCGGGTTTAAACTACCCGAAACCCTTTGGGGACGCATCCGTGACTTCGGGGCGGTCCCAGTCAGCTTGGAATGCGGTGCCCTCTGTTGCAATAGTTCAGTGGTGAGTACGGGTGTACCCGTGCCGCCACAAGGGCTTGCACCTCAAACGGCAGTTTCGTCTTCTTCCTGGCATCCATTAAATCCTCAATATAGCTTTTAAGCCAGGACTCCTGGCGGTAACGCACGCCCCGGTGGAAACGAGTCACTCGCATCCCCAGCTGCAGATACCGAGCCAAGACTGCCCCATGCACAATGTAATTTTTCCTTGGACCCAAATGAGCCACTAACTTGGGCTGCTTCAGCTGTCCTTCCGGCAAATTTTTGGCCAACTCCTGCTGGTACGGACTGTACCATTCTCTAGGGACAGTGCATCGTTCGACGGCACACGGCCATTCGTTGTGGCTCTCAAAAAGGGACTCGTCATACTCCAGGTCCACTTCCACCGTGTACATCGTGTTGTCGTCCTCGGACACACTTTTCCAGTCAACGAGTGCCAGAGCCTCAGCATCCACCCACTTAAAGTCCCCAACGGGTAGCTTTTTGCACATTTCATGGCTGTACAGGGCATTGACGTCCCACAAGTACAGATACTTGTTGGGCAAACTTGGGTCGTAAGTCGACGGGCCCGGCACGTTCGCCTCGGCGTACCGTTTCATAACACAAGACATACCACCCCGCTTTTGAAGCTCAAAGAATTGATACATATCCGGGTCGTCTATAAGCTGCACCTCCGCCTTGGTAAATTTGAGAGCCTGGCACCAAGACAAGGATGACGCAGATACAAAGTGACACACTTCTAACCCATATTTTGCATAAGTCATGGCCTTGAATTTAGTGAAAAAACTAGCCAGGAGCAACACGTCGCTCTTGAGGTAATGCGTCATGTAGTCCAGCAGTGTTCGGCACCCCAACCCATCCCACACTTGCTGCGCCCTGGCATACTCCTCCTCAGACGGCAACGCTCTGGTGAGGGACGAATAGAAAGCTTCTCGTGGCGGTAAGCGGGTCTCATCGCACAGCTGCTTATACGACCGGACATGTTCGTAGCAAAAGACACCCTTTTGCCTAAGCAGAGCCTGATGTTGAGGGTCGGGATACTCTTGAAACAGCAATTTGAGATCCTCATCTTGCAAATTTTTGGTTATACCATCCAATGAGGAAGAAAAAAATTGAAAACTGTCCAACAGTTTGATGCTACGACCCTCCTCCCCCAGGAAAATAGTGGCGCTTCGATACGTGTCGTGAGTTTTAGCCAGCACAGTGACTCGTTTGTCAACCAGCTTGGGGTGCTGGATGAATGCACGAAACACGTGGTGCACGTCGTACCGGAAGCCATTGTGGGCGACAAGGGGAAGGAAAGTCGTGCGCTTAATGGCTGAATTACATTCTGCGTGCGCTGGCCCGCGAAAATTGTCCCTCTCCTGTAATCTCTCGTGCTCCCGGACGCGATCTTGGGGGCTCTTAAACCCTTTACCGCACAGATAACACGAGGTCACCCTTTCAAAGTCGGCCTGCTGCTGCGCCGACATGTGGAGAGGGAAATTGGGACGCATGTCCCACAATTCTTTCTCTAATTCCAACACGGTGTCCACGAAGTGCTTTCCCACGTCCTTCTCACCAGAGTGGGTCACCGTACGGACCACATTTCCCTGCCAATCAACCACCACGATGGAATATCCAACAGGATCGTGCCGCTGGGTGCGCACGGTCGTTGCGTCACCGTCAGCAGGCAGGGGAACTAAGACCGATTCCCAGTCATAATACGCGGTAAAGGGCACCCTCTGCATTTTTGGAAAGCGCCGTGAGTCAAACACTTCGTACGAGCCAGGCTTGGCATACTCTGTTTTTTGAGCTCCAAACTGGCGACACACTTTTTCATGCTCCTCCAGTTTCTCTTCCGTCTGCAGACGGTTGAGGCAGTAACAACAGTAAAACCTCCGGTGTTCGTTGCGAGACTGTGATGCCAAAAATGCGTGAATATCACGCACGAGCACGTAATGCTGCCGTCCCTCATCGGATATTAACAACAGAGTGATGTGATGCTCTTTTTTCTCCTGAGGGCAGTACAGGGGAAAGATTGTCCGCTTTTTACCCCTGGCGTCTTTGTCCGCCTCGTCCTCCACACACAGAACCGTAATGCTGATAGTAGGGTTAAGTTTCTCAAATCGGGGCAAGTCGCACACTTTCATGGGCTCGTACTCGAGATTTCCCATGTTCAGCTCGTCCACGTAAGCAGTGTAGTGTGTCTGTCGGTAACGGTGCGGTGGTCACGGGCCGGGTGCAGCGCTGCAGCCACGGAAAGGCGGAAACAATCATGGTTTCCGAAATTTTTCACATTGACTATGGTTTTGCGGGAGTTACGCAGCCAATCGGGGGTGGGAATGTAGCTGCTCGCCTTCAGAGGATCACAGCGCACAATATTTAACTCAAGGGCCAAAACCTGGCTGATGACCCACGCGCTCCCCTCCAGCCTCACACACACACAGCCCAGCAGAGAGGATGAACACGAGTCCAGCCTCCTGTTGATGGTTTACAGAGTCAAGCATGGCTGCGGCAAGCCTGCTCTGTACTTCATCCCCTTCTGTATCTGCTTCCTCTTGGCTCATGGCTTGAAGCACAGCCGGCCCCTTCTCCAGGCAGGTCTCCATGATGACCTCATCCGTTGGCAAGCACATGACTGCTGCCTCTAAAAAAAAATAATTGAAGACACATGTGACAGTTTCAAGCAGTGATACAGCTCAGAGCTTGAATATCATCTTATTCTCAACAACTTACTTTGTAGATTGTGCCATCTGAGGTGCTTCCTGAGGCCTGAAGAGGAGGCGTAATCCTTCGAGCACAAGTGGCATTTTACCCTAGCAGCAGCCTTCACTCCTTTTGGGGGCCTCGTCTTAGTGGTTGCCTTGGCTGCTTTTGCTCGAACTGATGGCGTTTGCACCACGATGACAGATGACTGCACGCACACGGTCATGGCCATCAGACTCTGGCCCAGAATGTAAATGAAGTCTGCAACAATGATAACACAAAGGTCATAATCGTATGCCACTCAAAGCCGCGTATGCGAGATGAGACTGAGGTGCGGCGGATGCCGCCTGCCCCGTCCGTGGACTTTGGTGCGCAAGGGGCTGCCGGCTGCCTCAGTTGGGTCGTACTCCCCGGCCTCCGTCGTGGAGTACGGCCAACACTCCGGGACCCCATCCACAGGCAGGAGCGGCCTCCACTCCAGCACTCGCCGCTTCTGCTGCGGCTCATCGTCTTCGTCGGGTGGTGCTGCCTCCGCCTCCATCATGAGGCCGAGAGGGTCCCTGCTCGGACTCGGCACCGGGAGGCGGTTTCGGTCTTGGTACTTTCTTCCCCGCCGGTGTCTCCTTCCGCCTGGTGTGGCACAAAATAAATGTATGTCACTCAAACGGTTCTGAAGGCCACACCATGGTCGTGATTTCCCGGCCCGCGGCGTCCTATGTCGCGAGTGGGAGCCGCTCTACAGTCATGAGGAAGGTGTCGATAGTTTTCTGTGTCACGGAAAAATACTGTATACAGACTCCCAGCTGTTTGGCCACAGCAATGTCCGTTGCCTCGTCAACAATCAGGGAGTATGTGAAAGACCAGCCAATGTTCTTACGGTTTTCGATCTTCGATTTCGATGTGACTTTCCTCACATAATCCTATTACATATTGAAAGCAAATCCTGAAAGGATTTGGTCGGCCCACCATAAGTTTTTTATCTGGATAAGAAAAGATGTATCATTTGGGCCGTTTTTCTTGAATGTTCGAACCAACTTTTTGAGAATGCGTCCAAACTTACTCTACAAACTTGAGTGTGTACATAGTACACTCCACCTTGAGTGTACATGCATGTACACTTCAAACTGAAGTGTACTTAGCATGTACACTTCCACCTGGAGTGTACTTGCCATGTACACGCCAGGTGGGTCATACCTGCAGCAGAAAGCCAGCAAGAGTGAACCTGAAGGTATGCGCCACCTGGCGTGTACTTGGCAAGTACACGCCAACCTGGAGTGTACATGCCATGCCAAGTACACTCCAGGTTGAAGTGTACGTGCATCTACACTCCAGGTTGAAGTGTACATGCATGTTCACTCCAGGTGGAGTGTACTGCATGTACACTACAGGTGGAGTGTACTATGTACACACTTGAGTTCGTAGAGTAAGTCCCGTGAGCACATAAATTTTAACTCGTCGAGACGAATCCATTAATATATAGAAAAAGTCTTTTGGGGCAATTTGGCGGCCTCATACACAGAAAACAGGAAAACCTGGCTTTCAAGCGCTTCACAACAAATCCTGCAATGTAAAGGGTGACAGAGAAGACAGGACTGGGTCCGTACAACGTGAAAACCCCTCTGAACGTGCCACAATTTTGTCAACTTTTTGATTTCTCAGTAGGTTTTTCTTCTCGACTTTCTCCCGTTTCGCAGCCCTAGCCCGGTCATTGGTTGTTTTGGAATTCGCCAAAGGCACGCATTCTTGCAAAAAAATGTTGGCACTTTTAGAAACTTCCATTTCAGCACCAAGGGACCTGTAGGCGGATTTAAAGTGGTAGACAGATGGATTATTGTCACACCCCCGCCGTTGCCAAATTTTGCCATAAAATGTCTCAACATGATCTTGGCTGAGTTTGTAAGTACAGAGGAAAGACGTATCACCATTCCTCACAAGATCCTCAAAAAACCATTTTGACACTTTAAATTGCTATTACGAAACCCTGCAACCCCACCTTCCGTTTGCTGTCGAACACAGAGTGGTAATTTTTTCTCCCTTTGTCCCTTATTTTGAGACCATAAATATATGACTTTGGGCTGTCAAGGGCCTAGCCCAGCCTGAAGATGAAATAATAGATGATAGAACAATGGAACGAAGAACACATTCACAATCACTCTATGAAATGTTTACCTGAGTTCACTGGCCTCGCATCAAAGTCTTTGCTTACTGCAAAAACAAGACACACGTGTGAAGTCAACACATAACAGCAAACAAGGAGAGGTTAGACGCATGGTTTAGTAGACTTTTAACATACCTGATGAAAGCGTGTATGAATTTGCTCCACTGGGTGTGATTTTGTATCTTTGACCATCTTTCAGGATGTATTTATCTTCACCAGACATACTTTATGATGTGAAATAACGAGCAAGTATGCAGCAATCCTTACCAACAACCTACCAACAACTTAGACCAAGCACGCGTTTATCCGACGGTTTTAGCCCTGGCCAGCAGTAAGACCGGTCCAGAAATCGGGGTCTTGTACTATGTATGTGAGCCAAAAGAACCCGACCGCTCCGGCCGGGGTTTTCTGACCACAGCGCCTAAACCGTTGAATTTAGAGGGGTATAGTAAGCGAGCCGATTGTTCCTTGCATAGAGACCAGCCGCCCCCGCACGGGGCCCCCACCCGCCCCCGCCCCTCCCCATTCCCTTTTGGCGGGAAGATGTCACTCACTCAAATGTAGAACCTTGTGCTGTGGATTGACAAGTCGTTTGTGACAGCCTTTGCTTTGTGTCTATTTTTCACTATTTTTTTTAAAGAAACCTTCACTTCCTTTCATTTGTTTTGCTGGATATTCATCTGTTAATGTCGCATGAGAGAAGTCAATGCCATATTCCTTGTTTCGGAAGGAACTTAAGTTCGGATGACACTTTCTAGTATCTGCGAACGTTTATGTGTTTAATAGGTTGATGTAGTTTCCTAATGAGTACAGCAGAAGTGTGATACAAGTAGATTTAATTACACAAAATAAATATTTAATTACAAAATAATACATAGTAACTTCACCAACTAAAGTAAACTAGCTAAACTAAAGTAACTAAAAATTTGCAAGGGGATAGCTCTAATAGCAATAGCCATAGCAGCACTATTTACCTTGCAAGTACATGATTACCTCACCATTAATTTCATCATGTGACTTTTCAATAGAATACAATTTATTTTTAACCCCTTTACTAGTATGGTTCATATCACTCTGTTTTATAATAGTATGGTCTGATTCTGCATTGCAGGCTGCTAATGAGGAGCTATCGTCAACACCAACCATAACACCCACCTGTAAATTATGAGATTTTAAAACACTGCTATCTATGATTAAATTTCTAGCTGCATGGGGCGCCATGCCCTTGGCACTGCCATAATAATTTAACCTGCAATCATGTGTAGATGGGTCGTTGCCTGCGTCACAAGATGCACATTTTCTGTTACATTGTTGATAATCTAACACTTTGCCACTTAAATTACCAACAAGGGCTCCATACCCATTCAAACTGTCATAGTTTCTTCCTGAGCCTCTCTTGCTCCAACCCATGTCGTAAGACACCATCACTCTCACAACTTGGTCGAAGGTGGCTGGTTGATCTTCCCCACTGGTATTGGCTCCCTGTGCGCGGAGGAGAACACCCGCAGGGTCTCGATGTTGGAGGGCAGGCGGGCCTGGAGCTGCTCGACAAGTGTGCAAGCAAACTCTTTACTTCAGGAGGCTGGGCTCCATGCTGAGGACCAGCTTGGTCCTCGCCTTGTTGTCCTTGTTTACAGCAGCCTGGTCCTCAGGGTCCGGCTCAGTGGTGAGGCAGCCTCTAATCTCCTCGAGGCCGAGACAGAGCTCAATAAGTTATTTCCAGTCGCTCCAGTTTTCCACCCCCGGAGTTTTTCTATCTGCGGCAGCATCGCGTTCACGGTGCTGACCACCACTGGTTCACCACCGTCCGCACTCTGGCTGCTCTGCTGGCGCCTGGTTGCGGGAGGCATGGTTCTTGGATTTCAACGGGACGAACTGCACTTGTATTTTGGCAGGTGTTGCGCAGCTCGGCCTCTTTTCTTCCTTCTTCTGCTCTTCTGCGTTTTTTGGTGGTGGCTGCTGCTGAAGGACTGCAGCTTTCACCGCGCCCTTCACCCTCAGCCTGAACCCCTTTCCCCACCACTTCATGTTGGTGTGGAGGTACCGGCGCACGTTAACGGTGAGCAGATCGTGCCTGCAGTCCGTCACAAGGTTTTGGGCCATCGTAGTGATGAGGTGGATCAGCTCGTTCAGGAGCAGTGTGGGGTCAGCTGATTGCGCCTGGAAGATCTTGTTAACCCGCTGGCACTGGCGCAGGTACGGCAGACGCTTGCTTCGTTTTTCTGGCTCGTGATTTCCGATACTGGTTTTGAACGTGGTTTCGGTTTTTAGAATCCTTTTGCTCCTTCTTTTTGCTCTAAGATTTTATTC